ATGGGAAGGCTGGGTGAGCGTCAGGTATGCCTGCCTGTGCCGGGGCCACGGTCCAGGGGAGGAGAAAGACACACACTGATCTTGAGCTAAGGGTTCAGAAGAAACCCACCCAGGCTGACCAGTCCCCAGAGACGGAACAGCTCCCCTTGCAGCCAGATGGGGTGTCTACCCTGAGTGAGCCCAGGGAGGGTGACCCCAGGGCCTGGTGTCTCTCCCTCTGACCCCTTCTGCCACCACCAGGTTTCCCATTGGCTGGGGGAGGGCACACCCAGGACTCTGCCCTGAGCCCTCTGGTCCCCCGCCCCACCCCGATCCCCACACTGGCCAGTAGGAGTTGGGCTTCTTTTCTTTCAGCTGATGCAGGTACTAATCATAACCAGGGTGTGGTCCCAGTTCTGGTGATGCCGCTGTCACTTAGGAAGCATTTGAAAGATATTGATTCCTAGGCCTGTCCCAGACCCACTGAAACAGAAACTGATACCAAAGCCCAGGAATTTGTATTTCTAACAAGCTCCCCGGGTGGCTGGTAGGCAGCCAGCCTGGAATTTCAGCCCCCTCTAGGACGGCGCTTTGTTTCAAACAGCTCCTTACTCATCGGTGGTTCTTGGGATTAATCGAGTAGGCAGAGGCCAGCATCTTTTTTTTCTTTAATGAAACTGAATAGAAAATATCAAAAAGCATTGCGACGTAGTAAGGGCAAGTTGTTTCGTTAAACTTTGGTCACACACACGCATAACGTATGTGGGTGCTGGGTTGTCAAAGGTACTCACGGTGGGTGGCAGTCAGGAGACTTTTAAACACTGACCTTGGGGAACGTGATCTGCTTATCTGCCCAAACCCCGCAACTTCACTGCCTTCCATGCCCCACTCCATCGGCATTCCCCAGAGCCCCTGCCTCACCTCCGCTCTTCTCTCCTTCGCCTAGGTCCCTTGCCTGAGCCCTTCACCAATGGAGAGATCCGGAAGGTAAAGGCAGACCCCTAATTGCTTCTCTGGCGCTGAGTCCTGGTGTGCAGGGGGAGGGGGGAGGTGGACAGCATCTGGCTCAGGTGGAAACTGCGGGTTTCCAGGCTGCTCCCTCCTGGGCCCCAAGCTATGTAACTGCCCGTGTATCCCTCAGCCCCCGCCTGGGCCCAAGGCAGCGGGGAGGGAGAGGGGCCTGGCCGGCCCGTCCGCAGCCCGCCATCCTGGGTGCCAAGCTCCGCCTTTAGCTCCCCACCGCACAGAGGCGGCCATTCTTCCCCCCAAGAACAGAGCTGCAGTGTCTGGCCGCGCGCTCCCCGGCCCCTGCTACTTCCAGTCTGGGCTGGAAGAACAAAGCCTGTCCTCCCCGGACAGAGGGAAGAGGAGGCAGCGGAGGCTGGGGGGAGATGGTGGGGCCCGGTGGCAGCTGGGGCCACAGAGGAACCCAGGCAGGAGCTGAGCACCAAGCCACAGCCCTGGTCAAGGCCTTGGCTCTAGGATGGGCCGACTCGCTGTCGGACCACAGAACGGGAGCTCTCTGCAGGGTCTGCTCAAAGGCTTCCCTTCCCCGGGGGCTCCTGCTGGGGGACAGACACAGCAAGGGGCTGGCCCTGGACCACCTGAGCCTCTGTCACTCTGCCTGTGGGTCTAGAACTCATCCACCTCCTTCCTTCAGAGCCCTTCTTGGCAGCTTTGGGGTTAAGACTTCAAGAATCCCGGGGTCAAGTCCAAGTAAACAGTCAGATGGGCTGCAGGAGACTCAGGGAGCATGATGGGCGTTCCCCACGCCAAGCAAAGGTGCTCCCAGTGTCCCCACACTCCAGGAGGCCCCTCCCGGGTCGCCGTCCCAAAAGGCGAGTCAGCCCCAAAGGCTGCATTGGGAGGACTGGGGCGGGTAACTCGGCTAATCCCACGATGGATGGTTCCTCCTGCCTGGGTGGTGGAACCGGGCTACCCTCTGATCCCTGGAAGAATGTGAAAATGTAAATCCTCGAGGGGCCCTGGCAGGCTCAGGCGGTGGGGCTCTGGGGTGGATAGCGAGGGCTTAAGTGGAACTTCTCAGACCGAGGCGCCTGTCTTCCCTGGGAATGCCCTTCCTCGCCCGGGACTGCCCACCCCATGCCCTGCCCACCCACACGCCTCCTCTCTGTGCCAGGAGAACAGTCGTGAAGCCCTGGCCGAGACGGCCTCCGAGAGCCCCAGGCCAACCCTGGCGAGATCCACCTCCAGTGACACCAGTGAGGAGGTAGGCCGGCCGGCTGGGCGGAGCGGGGTGGCACTGGGTGACAGGAAGTCCATTCCCAGGCCACATTTGATCCTGGCACACCAGCCTGTGTGGAGGTCACATGCTGAGCCACGTTCAGTTCTTGTGACCTGGCTTCCCTGGGCACCGCCCCAAGGGAGCCACCTCTCCAAGGCACTAACTCCCGCGCTCTGCCGCCCCCTCCTCTTTACAGCTGAATTCCCAAGACAGCCTCAAGAAGCAGGACTGCACGGCACCCTCATCTACCTCCTCCTCCTCCGACCCCATCCTGGACTTCAACATCTCCCTGGCCATGGCCAAAGAGAGGGCCCACCAGAAGCGCAGCAGCAAACGGGCCCCGCAGATGGACTGGAGCAAGAAAAACGAACTCTTCAGCAACCTCTGAGTGCCCCAGCCACCAGGAAGGCTGGCAGGGCCGGGCCAGCCCCACACCCCGACCCGGCTCCTTTTCCCTCTTCCCCACTTACCCCCAAATCGACATTACAAATCAGCACCAGCATCTCCTCTCTTGGCAAATCTGACTTTTTTCTAGAGAACTGTGTTCTTCCCTTACTTCAGGGAAGGTGACTGTTTTTCCGTCCTGGCCCCGATCAGAAAGCAGACTGTCCCCCACTGGGTGCTTCAGCCCACCAGGTGTCCCGATGCCACCCTCCTGGGACATCACTGGGACCTCCACCGAGCAAGGATCGTGGGACTGGGCGAGAGGTCACCTTCCCACATGACCCCAAGTGATGACTGGGTCCAGGATTGATCGAGGACTCAGGTCACAGCAACATCTCAGAGTGGACAGGGGGCCGTCATCCTCCGTGGCTTGGGCATCTTACTTTTGTTTGATTTTTTTTTTTTTTAAAGAGTGCAGTACCACAGACTTTAGCGGGACGTCCGTTTCCTTGATTAATGTGATTTTACAGGTTGCTGCACCTAGGACATAGCAGCGGCCTTAGCCTAGAACTTTTTTGTTTCTGCTCCCACCCCCCAGAGACCTGGGCAACACGGGGAGGGTTTCGCCACCCGCTGCCCAGCCCTGAGCCAGGCACAGTTGTAAGGAAATGCTATCGAAATGGAACCGGTTTCTCCAAACCGCCTTGGCCTCTGTGTTTTCCTTTGGAGCTCTGTCCCTGGGTGTTCCCGGCGTGGCCTCTGGCAGAGAGGGTAGGGAACAGCTGGAGGGAGGGGAGGTGGGGTGGCTTTATCCCGAGGGCCTTGAGCCTATAGCTGCTAGGTGGCCCTGCCGAGGTCCCCCCCCCACCCCACCACCACCCCATGTGCTTGGCTCACCAGGGCTGCCCTAGAGGGACATTCATCAGGGAAAGTGGGAGCTAAACCCACGTGCTCGGAGGGCGCCGGGAAGGCACCTCGGATTCCAGGAGCGTTCAAACTGTGAATTCACGATGGAGCCAGACTTGGAAAGAGAAGGCTTTTGGCTTTCATCTTTCCACCCACAGCCAGCGAGGTACAGGAGTCCCAGGAGTGACCTGAGCTGGTCCCAGATACTCTCATCTTATCTGGCCGTGGACCTGACTGGAGGGACTGGGGGAAAACAAACCTGGCCCACCGAGCCCTGGGACGTGCCTGTGGCAGGTGGCATGGAGGGGACTCTCCAAGGACTCACCCAGGTCCCTTATACCTCTGCCCCTGAGGCCACATCCTGGAGATCTGCCAGGGTGGCCTGCCAGGGCCAGGTTCCTGGGCAGGTGCTCAGAAGCAAGGGAAGCTGGCCCTGGGCTGTTCTCTACCCAACCAGGAGACCACTCAGAAAAGCCAGGTTCCTGGGACTGAGGAGAACAAGTAGGGAGACAGTGGACCAGGGAGGGGACCCGTGGAGCCCCTGGGGTGGAGAGAAGGGCAGGTCACTATCTGGCCGTCACTATCTGACCTGTTAAGGTTTGAATCCCACCATCGTTAAGAGAAACCTTTCAAAACCCTTATCACAGCACCACAGGCAGCAGTTAGGCTGAGCCTGGCCGGGCCCCCAGCCTGCCCTTTGACCCCTGATGGAGGGCCCCCGCAGGTTAGCAGGCCTGAGAAGGGGCCCCTCCCTACCTCACCTGCTGGGTGGGGAAGTCCTCAGGACTTTTGACTCTGATTAAGCTGGGGACAGGTGGAAGGAACACGTGGCTCAGAGGGAACTGTCGCTGAGGGGCTGGGGGCCCCAGCAAGCAAAGTTTGTGTGTTCGCTTCAGGCATGTTTCAGATTCGTAGTCTGCTGGGAGAGGCCAGGATCGAGAGGCCTGGGCGCTGGGAGTCGTCAGCCACAGTCCTGGCTCTGCCATCAGAAGCTCTGGGGCCTTGGGCGAGTGCCGCAACTTGCCTGGGACCGTTTCCCCCCCTTGAAAATGTCCTAGGTGTCCTCGAGAGTCTCTTGTCCAATTGTGTTTTGAAACACGCCTGACTTTTTTGACGGCCACCCCGGATTACGACAGGGCATGAGACGGGGTTAGAAGTCAAAGGGTGTCCCCCTCGCTGTGAGGTGGGGAGCCCCGGCCCGGCTCTGCCCGTTAAGCCCCGGTTGCCAAGCAGCCGAATCATCCGAACCTGTGCCTCTGGCACCCCCTAGTGGCCTTCGCAGGTGCAGCTGCTCCCAGAGGCAGAGGCCTGGAGAGCGAGGACGCAGGTGCCCTCGGGATGACACCCTGCAACTGAGGAGGCCCGGAGCTCCTCCGGGGTACTCCAGCCACATGCAGCTGCATCCGAAACTAACCTACTCCACCCTCAAAACTGGCTCCAAAGAGGAAGGAGCAAGGACACTCGCCCACTTTCCAAGCCACCTGTCTGTCCTTCAAGGCCGAGCTCATTTATTTCCAGACCTCCCAGGGTCACACCCACCCGCTTCTGCTGGATGACACAGGACCGAGCTACCCCTCCCCTGTCCCTACGACGCCGGACCAGATGCCGCAGGCCGGCCCTCCTGGCAGTTCACCTCCACACGGGCCCAATGAGAGAACAGGGCAAGCTGCGTGCAGTGCGCTTGACTCCCGCAGAGCCTCGGTGGCCCCTCTGGCCCTCCGGGGGAAAGGGAGGTCCTGCCCATTCACCAGGCGCCCCCTCGTCTCCACCTCCACCCTGCCTCTTCCTGTGGATTCATGCCGTCCACTCCAGATTCCAAGAGTCTGAGTCCAGCTTTGGCCAGGAGGAGGGGCTGGCCCTGGAGTGGCTCAGCCACAAGGCCGGCCAGAGGGAGGCCAAGGCAAGTCCAGCCCGGAGTCCGAAGGGCCCCAAGAGGAGAGTCCCAGGCCGCAGCAAGGCCAGAGCAGCCTGCCCCATAGGCCCCCTCTGTGTGCCCGCTGCAGGGCTCTGGTCTCACACCCCCATCCACACAGGGTGGCTGGTCCGCAAGGCCGGCTGTCAGCGGGGCTCCGACGCCCCAGCTCTGTAGGGCTTCTCTTCCACGTGGCTGGTCTGCTCGAGAAGCCACTGCCGCTCCGGCTCACTCATCGTCAGTCTGAGCGTCACCTCCTGGAAGACACTGCTCACAGCCACCTACGTGATCCAGACAGAGCAGGGCCGACTAAGTTACAGGCCCAAGTCCTAGCGCCACTGGGCCCGCCCAGACCCAGGCCTCACCCTCGCACTGGCACCATCCTCACCTGCTCAAAGTGAAGCTTTCGGAACATCCGGATGCTCGGTTCATTTCCTTGCCCAATTTTAGCCTCAAACTTGGTCAGACCTAGCTTGGTCACTCCTCCCAGAAGAGGTTAGAGAGGGATGAGCTGCAGGATAAAGCCCTACCCCACCTCCCCAGCACCCTCGGCCCCCCCTTTCCCAGCCCGCGATGGAAACGCCTGTCACCGGCTTCCACCCTCAGGCCCGAAGGCTCCCTCCCAACACGCCCTCGCCTTCTCCTGGGGCCTGGCCACTTCTCCCCAACATAGCCTGCTCGGCCTTCCTTACCATAAGACATCATCATGAGGACGGCCTCGGTGCCCAAGCCCTGGCCCCTGCAGCTGGGCTCTAGGAGGAATGACAACAGTCACTGACAGTGCGTGCCCGGCTCACGTCATCCTCACAACCCCTAGGAAGTTTGCAGATATGGGTACCATTCTGCAGATGAGGAGACAGAGGCCCAGAGAAGTTAAGTGACTCGCCCGGGGTCGCACAGCTTAGAGGCACCCAGCAACCTGACCCCCAGACTGACCCCTTCGGCTCAGTGTGCTGCCCCACGAGGACAGTCACACGGCCCCTTAGAAAGAGGCTGAGGACGCTGATGGACACAGAAACCGGAGGGGCTCCTCCCACGGCATGGGGAGATGCTCCAGGGAAGATCGTTTATTTTGGGAGGGTCCCCAGTCCACCCCAAGGATGGGGCAGACTGCAGTTTGAAGACCCTAAAACCAAAGGTTAAGTTCACACCTAAGCATAAGATGGGAATAAAATGAACTACCAGGGGTGAGCCGCAAGGCTAACAGGGTGCCAGGTGACAGTCTGCCCAGCCAGGTGCTAGGCTCACCAAGGCCGGAGCTGCCCATGGAGCTCTCTGAGTGCCTACACAGCCTCGGTGGCTTCAGGTTCAGCGGATCTGAGGACCAGAGGGATGGAGGGCAGGGCCCGGTGGAACAAACCTGCAATCATGACCTCAATCTCCCCCAAGGTGGGGTCCCCTAGATCCGTGAGGAAGAGGTTCACATCTCCCGCCATGCAGCTTTCCTCGCTGGTGCCTAGCTGGGCCTGCCACTTCTCTGCATCCAGCACGATGAAGGTACACTCTGAGGAGGGAGGCGACGGGATTATCACCTACACTCCCCAAAGGAGTGCAGGGAGGCCAGTCTTCCTACCCGAGCCAGAGAACTGCAGAGAACTACTACTGTCTCTGAGTCGGGCAGGAAAAGGGAGCCAGCACTTCCTTCAGCTGATTACAAAGCCTACATCGGCCTCATGCAGGAGACGATGGCCTTCTGCAAACAGCAACTGTATTCTCAGAGAGCACGAACCACAAGGGGTTTGTGGCAAGGGGCACAAGGGGCAGGGCCTGGATTTACAGCCAGAGCCCCAAATGCTTTCCTTTCTCTAAATCCCTTCACGCCTGGTGCAGGGAGTGGGGACGGAAGCGTCAGCCACAGGGACTTGCTTCAGGGGGCATCACAGCCTGAGAGCTTCAGGGGACGTCACAGTCTGAGGGCTTCAGGCACCTCCCAAGCTTTTCAAGAAGTATTTTTTGCAAACTTTCTGTGGCTCCAGCGGGGCTACAGCTGGGAACAGTAAAGGGTGGGAACCCGGTAAGGCCCTGGAATCAGCCCTCCCGTGACCGGCACAGCCCGGGGCCTCCACTTCTCACTGTCTGCATCTTCCTGCCAGCTGTGCTGCATCACATACTCCTGCTCCAGGGTCAGCGGCTCGGAGGCTGTCAAACGCCGCAGCTCCTCTGATTTCATCCACTCGTGGTACCTGCGGGGACGGAGGGTCGGCCTTTGGCAGGCAGGACAAATTGAGAAGCCTAAGTCTGACGCTTTATGAGATGAAGAAATGGATGGCTGAGGGGAGAACCCCCCCCAGGGCTAACAGAGGGCTAGAGAAGAACCCCAAGAAAGAGGTATAATGGCTCCTATGGTAGAAGGCCACAGGCCCAAGAACTAGAGGCAGGCTAGTACTAAAGAGAACCGCAGGAGGCAGTTCTGTCCATCCAGCCTCCTCTCCTATCTCAGGGGTCAGTGCGGTGGAGCAGCCTGGAGCCGAACATTCCTCAAATTCCCCAGGGGAGGTCCTGGCAAGCCAAACTCAGCAAAGAAGGCTGGACAGATCTCCACAAAGGCCAGGCACCAGGAGCCCCCAAACGAAGACCACAAGTAGAGAACACACGCCTGCAGCACCAGTATCCCTGTCTACCAGACATTCGTCACCTGGCCCACGACAGTCCCACCCTGCGACTCGGTCCTGCCCTTTCCAAGCAGTAGACATCACGACGACCCACCTGCTCAGTTTTCTGACAAGCTAACATTTAGTTTCCAAGAACTGAGCCTATTCACTGGCCCCAGAGGAATGACACGCATTTATCATTAGAAGACAGTACCTTTTTTTTCTTGCACACGTGTAGTTTACATAAAAGAATTCCTGGCTGAAAGGCCAGAAAGGAAGCTGAGGGGATGGGAGGGAGAAACAGGGGGATGGATGACTTCTTCCAGGGAGGTCATAGCCCTCTGTTTCAGTTTTCACTTTTTCCCGTATGCAATTACTTCTCACACCAGTGTCTCTCCTTCTCAGAGAAACAGCCTCTGAGATTTGGGTTAAGTCAGGCTCACCCTCCTCGCTGCACCTTGGAGAGCTGGCTTGCATCCCGTGTCAGGGGAATGGTTACCTAGGCACATGCTCTTGGGTGTAGGGTACCAGCACCACCTTCTTTCCCAGCAGCAAGATGTTCTGATTTAACCTCATGGTAGCAGCCTGCGGGTGGGAGGGCAAAGATTTCAGCACCTGAGTTTCCTCCCACTTAGGGTGGGAGCCCCGGCTCTCAGTTCACTAAATGCCTCCTGGGGCTAAGCTGTCAGAAGAGCCTCTGTCCTTCTTCCTTTCCAAACACTTCAGAGAACACGGACTTTAAACCCTTTGCAAGAAGGGGAACACGGCTGGTGAAAGATGATTAAACAATCCTGGGCTCGCATCTCAAGGGGCCAAATATGGGCTGCCTTTTCTGCCAGTCCCTTCAGCCCCATCACCCGGAACCTCGATGCCCCACACTCACCAAGACTCATCACCAAAACTCCCATCACTCGCCCCAGTTCTGAGACTCCGCCCCACGGTTACTTCTCAGCCCTGTCTTGAACCTATTTCCAACCCCTTTTCCCAGCGACCACCCCACTGGGCTCGGGTCCTCCCTCTTCCTGCCCCCCAAGCCATCGGGGCCTCCCTGGCCACTCTTGGGTGAGGCAGGCTTAAGGCCTCAATCCCCTCCTCTTTGTGAGGAGTTACAGGCTACTCTTCTCGAACCCCCACAACCACTGGGGTCCCGCGACGGCCAAGTTCACACCCACTCCTCGCCGACGAACGTGTCCCCAGCAGGTGTGATCCACCCCTTCCAACCCACCCCGCTTTCCCACCTGGCAGGCGGCCGCCCCTCCCGCATGCGCGTGGGAGCGCACCCCGCCCACTTCCGCCACGCAGACGGCAGCCGCCGGGACCTAATCCCGGTCCCGCCTCCGCGAGGCGCCCAATCAGCGCCGTGCGCCCCGCCCGAGGCGCGCACAAAAAAGGTGGGCTCCCGGCGCGGGCGCATGCGTGCTGCCGGCGCTGGTGCGGGACAGCTGTTGCCGGCAGCAGCCCCGGGTCGGAGACAGCGGCCGCGGCAGCGGGAGCAAGCTTCGCTGCAGGTGTCGGAGCGGGAGGGTGGGATGGAATGGGGTCGTGCCAGACTCGGGGCTCCTCCAGGAGGGAGGAAGAAATGGAGGAGAGGCTCGGAGAGGGCCTCTTGGGAAGAAGAGGAGGCTGGAGGGTGGAGAGCCCTAAGGCAGATTGGGAGACGTGGAGGCCCCGTTAAAAAGGAGAGGCTCTGGGGCAAGGAGTTGGGTTGGGGGGCGACCTAGGAAAGCCCCCAGCCCCTTGCTCTAGGCGGAGGAGGCAGACAGTTGCTTGGCTTCCCTGTGTGGTAGTGAGCTCGCTGTTCCTGGCATTAAATGGGGGGTAACCAGAGTGGGTAAAGGGGACCCTTGTGGTGGGTGACTCTTAGTGGCGTCTGAGGCCCCTTAAATCACTTGGAGTCCGAGCGGTAATGAATACATGCCCTGCACAGACAGGAAGAAGTTAGAAGAAACCACCCAGGTGTCATCATACAGGGAGGTCCTTCCCTCCGGGCTCTCTTTTGACAGATAAGCCATAAGTGGCTGTGATTAAAGGACAGGGAGGGGGTGGCTCTGTAGACATCCCTCCGCCCGCGTCTAGGTCCGTCAGAAAGCTGAAGTCTGTTTTTTTCCTAGGGAGCCGCGGCCGCCGCCGCCCGTGCACGGAAGGAACCTTGGCAACCAACAGACCCTTCCTCGCTTTTGGAAATGGCGGGTGAAATCACAGAGCCCGGGGAGCTCTATTCTCCCTACGTGAGTTTTACTTTTGGAGATGTTTTGCCCACATCAGTGCCCTTGGCTTCTGGAGAAGCACACTGCTTCCTATGGACTGTACTTGTGAGTCCAGCGGCTTTCATAGCTGCGGTCTGGGAACCCCATTCAGCAGCAGCCACGGTGAATGTATGGTGAGAGTCAGGTTTGTTCACTCTTCACATGTTGATCAGAGAGTGGTCAAGAAAGGAGACCGGACTTGCTCGCTCGTTATCTTTGTCTCAGGGCTGCTAGCACTTGCACACTGAGGCCAGTTCAGATGGATGAAGGCTGTCGGCTGTTGACTCTGGGTTCCGCTCCCCTCAGCAGTTTGAAACCACTTCGGTTCTCAGCTGAATTTTAAGTTGCACAACTTTTATAGTCGTGGATGGCGTAAGAGGCGGAGAAAGCATACAGAGACCTTCAATTGCCGTTGGGTGGAGTCTGTGACTAGGACAACTAGAATGATTGATTTCTCACTGTCTTGGGTCTGCTGTACCCCCACCCCTCTCACGTATACTCAGTTTATCTTCTTTGTGTAATATAAGATTGGTCGTGGTTACATCACGGAATCCTTGCTGGGATGAGTAGCTGGAGGACTGAAATAATCAAATGATGGATTCATGTTGCTGCCAAGTATCCCAGAGAAAGGCAGCACTGCCTTAAGTAGCAAGAGGCCTCTTTCTAGAAAATACCTAACCTTCAACAGCTGCCCTGCTCTGCACCTGCCTGGGGATCCATGCTCTGTTTCTGCCAGCTTCATAGACTCTAGAGCTGTGGTGTGATGCGTAAGGAAGCACCTCTGAGAACATCTGGCAAAAACCCTCCCACTAGGGTCCTCCTGCTGGGTCTGTGCCATTTGTGTGTGGCTCCAAGGGAGCCTCCTTCACCTGAATAATTTATCAGGGAAGTCTTTCTTTTTTTTTAAAATAAATGTATTTATTTTTGGCTGTGTTGGGTCTTCGTTGCTGTGCACAGGCTTTCTCTAGTTGCGGCGAGCGGGGGCTACTCTTCGTTGCGGTGCACGGGCTTCTCATTGCGGTGGCTTCTCTTGTTGCAGAGCACGGGCTCGAGGTGCGTGGGCTAGAGTAGTTGTGGCTTGAGGGCTCTAGAGCGCAGGCTCAGTAGTTGTGGCGCGCGGGCTTAGTTGCTCCGCGGCATGTGGGATCTTCCCGGACCAGGGCTCGAACCCGTGCCCCCTGCATTAGCAGGTGGATTCTTAACCACTGCACCACCAGGGAAGTCCGGGAAGTCTTTCTTGAACCTTGGAATGAATCAGGTCATGCCCCTCTCATTAGTGGAATTGCGTAACAGCTCACAGCCTCCTCTTGGTATCAGCAATGACATGTCCACACTGTCCATGAAAGTCACCACGGTTCCTGCGTCATCTTACAACATCTGTAAGCTGAGAGGCGAGGAAATGAGCTATTTCTGTAGCTGAGTGTTGGGAAGGAAAACCTTTGATGTGCCCACTTTTCTCGTGCTTCCAGCTGTTCAGTAATTTCACATATCAGCATATGCTCACAGGAAATGGGGCGGCGAGACCTAAAGGTCTCAGCGGGTTCTGCTTTTTTAAATTTTTTTCCTCCATCTCCTGTGTGTTTGGTTTTGTCTGAGGCATGTGTTCAAGGGCCGACTCTGGGCCCTGGCCGTAAACAGCTGCTCGTATTCTCTTATCCTGCCGGTGAAGAGAGAGGCAGGGGGAAGGTGGGTGGCGCTGAGGATGAGGTGGCATTAACCAGGATTCGTGGTCTCGGTTTGAGCCGAGAGCACACCTTTGCCCTGAGGTTTCCTTAACTCTGCCACCCTGCAAGAGTGGTTCTTGATCCCCTTGTGAGACCAGGAGAAGGGTGTGAGGTGCGCCACCCACGGAGCCCAGAGAGGCTGCAGAATGGACTTTACCGCACGTGCTGCTCAGCACGATGTGGGCGGCACCTGCTCTGCCTGCCTTGGGAGACCATGACCCTGAGCGGTGCGTCAGCCCGTAACCCGGGCATTCCCAGCACCAAGCCTCTCCCTACCTCTGCGGTGCCCTGTTGGGAGTTCTCGCCCCTCCTGGGTGTCAGGGGTGTTTGCCTTAGCCCGCATTCTTCTGCATAAACTGTGTGTGTGTGTGACGGGCAGACGAGCCTCGCAGGGGACTCGGGTGACAAACTCTCTCAAGGATAGTGCCGGACGCAGGAGCATGGTTTAGGCCCACACATCCCCCCCAGAAGTGATCTCAGAACAGGCGTGTCTGTTTCCCCATTTACGGGGACCACGAGTGGCTCGGGACTGAAGGGGTCGTGGGATCAAAATAGAGGAAGAAGGGGGTCACTGCCTACATAAGGATAACTGCTGAGGCTGCCTTCCGCTGGCCGGTCTCGCGGAAGATCGATGCGGGTGCTTTCGAAGGAAAGAGGGCTTGTCTCCTGGCCTGAAACCCTAGTTGTTGCTTCCACATCTCTGCCACCTTCTGTTTCCTTTGACAGCTGTCGTTGGGGAAGCCGTTGAAAGGTGCCTGTGACCCCTGCCTCATGCACACCTGTGGGTGAGGCCGTGGGAACGCTGCACTGAACCCCCTCGAGCACAGGGGAGCGGGTCAGCCACCCCAAGGGACAGGGACTGTGTCTTCTGCACTTCAGCCACAGGGGAAGAGTCTAGAACAGGAGGAAGCTCGGTTTGCATAGCCTTTTTTATTGAGACCACAGCAGGGTTCTATTTCACCACTTTTGGTCATGCCTCCCTGCAGGCTGTCCCCACAGAACTGTCCCCTAACAAACAGAAGAGCAGTTCACTCCCCCGTTTCCTTCTGCGTCACAACTGCCTTCCACCCGGCCTGTGGCTCAGCTCAGGTCTGCTTCCTGCGTCGTGCTCTTCTCCTTGGTATTGGTCCCTACTGATCCCCGTTACTGGAAGTAAGGAGGGTTTAACTCCGGCCGGGAAGGTGGAGAAGCCGTATGTTTCCCTATGGGATTCCCTGCAGCACCACCAGGCCCGGAGTGCTTGCCTCAGAACTAAAACATAGCAACAACCCAAGACAGATGTGATGACTCATTTCTGCTCGTAACTGCCAGTAGTTGATCCCTAATTAACCTCCTTGTCACGTTCGTAGAGGGTCTTTTTCACTGAGGTTTATTGGAAGTTTCCATCGGGAGTGTGTTTGTTTCACTGCATCTTTATCAGCGGTGGTTCTCAGCTGGTGGCAGTCTTGCCTCCCAGGGGACATTTGGCAATGTCTGGAGACGTTGTGACCATCACAACACAAGGGCAAGGTGGGGGGTACTGGAATCTAGTGGGTACAGGCCAGGGATACTGCTAAACATCCTACAGTCCACAGAACAGGCCCACAGCACAGAGCGAGCTGGCCCCAGGTGTCAGCAGCGCTCAGGCTGAGAAACACTGCTTGACAGCAGACCCTTGACTTTCACATCCCAAGACCTTCAGGCATCCCTGAATTCACAAATGCTTCTTGTACTAAATTTCCCCATAAAACTTTTTTTTTTTTGGCCGCGCCCCGCGGCTTGCGGGAACTTAGTTCCCCGACCGGGGATCGCACCCATGCCCCCTGCAGTGAAAGCGCAGAGTCCTAACCGCTGGACCGCCAGGGAAGTCCCATGCCCATAAAACTTTTGGCTGAGAACCATCACTTTCTTAGGCCTCTTTGCTTTCTCTTAACTTCTGTCACGAGCCCATCACCAGGACTGTTTTCCATAAAGAAGTAAGGTTCTGCCCTTCAAAGTGTTACAGCTTCTAAAAGCAATACGCAGAGAACAGAGCTGCCGGGAGATCAGACGTTAGGTCATCGACCAGGGCCTGGCCTCTTAGCGTCCTGCTTACGACCCTGCCTGTGACGTCGAACTCCCTGTCCCGTGCGCCAGGGCCCGGGAGTCCGCCTGCAGCCACGCTGGCCTCAGAGTTCCTGGAAAATCCCTCCCCCTCTCCCACCTGCCAGTGTCTTCCCCGGCCCTTTGCCTGGGTGGCTCCTGCTCGGCCCTCAGGTCCCG